TCCAAATGCTATCTCCCCACTTCTTGTTCTCCTTTCTACTGCGCCCCAGAGAATCAGAGCCAGTTGTCAAGGGTGTTACAAAAGACCCATCTTCCTGGTAACATGACTCCTTGCCAATTCATGCTCATAATAGGACAGGAAACCTTCAGTTTTAGCTCTCCATCTAAATGGTTTTGTGTATTTGTAAATAATAATAATGACACGGGAAAGTCATATTACGACCGGGAGGAAAATGTCAGAGGTTGGCAGAGCAGCTGCATTCATCTGGGTTGGAGGCCAGTAACACGGGTGAGAGCAGCACACATGGTGCTGCCCTTGGGAGCTGCCTGTCTCATCATCTGCTTTTAAGGGTCCTATCAGCAGAGCAACACTAGCAGATGGTGTGCTGCCAGCACCAGAACCAAGAGCTTTCCTCTGAGCCAGATGATCCAGTGTTTATTTGGGCTCCCTCAGCAAGGGTGTAAACACATCTGCGGTCAGTGGGAGACATGAACTCCTCTTTTCGTTTTTTAAAAAAAGTGATGGTATTCAATGTAATTTCCATACCATCAAATTCACCCACCTCAAGTGTAAAGTTCGAAGTTGTTTTTTTTCAGTACATTTACCAAGTTGTGCAACCAATCACCACAAACCAATTTTACAACATGTCCAGTAACCCCCCAAAATCCTTGTGCCCATTTGCAGTCAACCTTTGTTCCCAATCCCCCTAGTCCCAGGCAACCACGAATCTGTTTTCTGTCTGTATATATTTGCTTTGTCTGGAAATTTTATGTACTGGGATCATAGTGGTCTTTTGTATCTGGCTTCTTTCACTTAGATTAATAACCTAATAGTGAGGTTCACCAATGTTGTTGTTTGTTATTTAGAAAGGTTTTAATATCATTCTACATCTGTTAAATTTACTTGTATTCTAAACCTTACTTTTCATTGTCAAGTAAAAGGCTTTGTTTCCTGTTGAAGAGCGGATCTTCAGATATCCTGGAATCCCTGTAGGACGTCAGACTTAGTATAAGTAAATTCAGATTTAATCAGGGCATCCTTCAACCCGTAGGTGCAATTTAGCCTCTTGGGTACCTCAGGTGATTGTGAAGGGCAAGGAAAGGTCTGGGGGCAGCATTGAACTAGGTCAAGGGGCTTCCAATGAGCCAGGCAAATGTTACCATCGTCCAGTCACAGGTGATTAAAGTTGTCATTTTGTTGAAACAGTATTAAACCAGTTGGGATAACTAGATCTTTAAAGATATTTAGACATTCACAAACATAGATTGTTACCACTGAATGTCATGTCTAATTACCTGACTTCCAAGGAAACATAAAAAATAGCTTCCTTGAGGGGTGACCAGTTAGCTCAGTTGGTTAGAGCGTGGTGCTGCTAACACCAAGGTTGCCGGTTCAATCCCCGCATGGGCTGCTGTGAGCTGCGCCCTCCTTAAAAGAGTCAACTATGCCATTGTAGCATGAAAGCAATGTGTAACCAATGACCATGGCTGTTTCCCAATAACATAAGAATAAATAAAGAAGTAAAAATAAAATAAAATAAAATAGCTTCCTTGAGAAGCCAGTGCAGACTTCATTTCATATAAAAAGAACCTGATACTGGTATCTCACACCCGCTCAATCCCAGAGTAAGTATCACATTCAGCACCCTCCACACCTGCTACCTTATCCTTATCCCACACTGTGGGCTGCTTCCAAGAAGTTTTATCTTAAATCTCACTGGGAGAACCAGGATGGAAGAATTCCAAGGCAAGAGAAATGGCTGTTCCCAGTTTACTAGAATCCGAAACACAGAATGTCAGTGCCCATCCAGCGCCTCTGGTGGACTCACTGGCCAATCCAACATTAGAACTCAGGGTCTCCCAGTGCCCAGATTCAAATTACTCAGCTGTCTCCTTCCAAAAACAGCAAATCCCCAGACGTCTCCAGCACTCCCTGAGATTACAAAACACAGGCTACCGAGGTCAAATAAGTCTATTCCTTCTACACATCTTCTCCCCTGAGAAGCCCTTTCTTCCTCTTTCAACAGTTGACGATCAGGGCTTTACTAAGCAAAAGTGAACATGAGGGGTTACGTGCTAGGGCTCATTCTCTGCTCTTTTTATTATGAAAATTATTTATAGATAATAGTGAGACGCCATATGCATCTCCAACATTATTTTTCGTAGTTTCACATCTAAGCATGACAGCCGGCAGACTTGTACCATAAGAGCAAGATTCTTACCTTTTGCATCCCTGGCACTGGCACTGTCACTGGATAATAATAACAAGAGCTCAAGTTTCACATGTGCTTGCTCTGTTAGATAACGTGTTTATACATTTATTGCATGTCTTGTTCAAATTCAAGCAGCTAATAATTGTTGGAGGCTGGTTCAAACTCAAGTCTGTCTGACTACAAAGTATATGTTCTTACCTACTGCACTACATTGCACTGCTAACATGCCATGCTGCGATGCATGTATGTATGTGTATATGTTATATATATATATGTGCTGTGCATGCATGATGGCTATATACCTGGGGTGACAAAAAATGTATACAATTAGACACTTTGGTCTATTTTGCTCAAGCAGTAGTTCGCCGTCATCAGAAATTTCTGGACACTGATGGTAACTACTTTGAGCACCTCTTGTAATTGCAGAAGTCAAACATAACTTGCATTCACCTTTTGTTATCGGTATATATTAAGTATTACAATTTTAATACAGCTTTCCTTTCTTAAAATGTGTATACATGTTTTTGGCACTATATATATATATATATATATATATATATTTATATATGGTTTCATTTTGTCCCATATATAACTTGAAGCAGCTTGGAGTTTTTACATGTCCTAAATAATTTCTGATTTGGAAGGTGACAATATATGTAAGAGTAATGTGACTTGAAGCCAAAGTTTGGAATAGAAATGTCTGGTGAAAGGTCAATGATGGGGTTTAAGTGTGTTCTCTGTGTCATAAAACACTCCTTTTTATTTTATTTTTTGTAGTTTTCATGCTGACCCATATGTACTGATTTTTCAAAAGCCTGCATCTAAGGGAGTATTACCTGTGAATATTTGCTGTTCAACATTTACACAATTGTTTTCACATCTTCTGCGCCATCATCCTATTGCCTGGAAAACGTGTCCTGTGACTGACTAAAATGATCCAACCATATTCTTCCAAAGGCACTTGGTTTCTACAATTATTTCAAGTTAGAAATGGAAATACTATTTAAAGATCACCTACTGAAAAACTAAACAAAACACACCCACATAAGAGGTCATATCTGCTTCTTTCTACTGCAGCTTTCTGTACAATAGAAAATAGGATCCAGTCACCAAAACAGCCATGACACCTTGGCAGCACGGGAAGATGTCATCAAAACTCCCTCACGTCGATTCCACAGTGGTTAAATAGGCAGCACTGTAGAATGTTTGGCTTCTCCACAGACTCACTGGGGAGGAGCAGCTGTTACCCTCTCCCAGATCAAGTTACATATTCCAGGAGAAACAGAATCCTAATTAGATAGAAATTCATTCCCCTTACCATTCATCCCACTCGAAAACAAAGACACCGCTAGGGAAGTTCAAAATGTGGTAAGAAAAATATCAGATCCATTTAGGATACAGTGATGGCCTCAGTTGCATAGAACACATTTTTCTCCTGCTGTACAAACCAAAATAATAATTTCCGAAACCTCTAGCATGTGCAGTAAATTCATATCTTTATATTCAAGTATTTCTTGAATATATTTACGTAAAATACATGAAAGAAAATGTCAAAGCTTTAGTTTATTTGTTTACTTAAATGTACTTTTACAAAGTACCAAGTGATATACACATTATATGCCCAAATTTAATTTCTTTCCAGTATGATAGATTTGATGTTGTTACCTTGATGCTTCCTAATATTTCTGTCATTGCTTCTTATATAGCCTAAAAAGCCTGACTATCAAGAACACAGAGGCCCAGAACAATCTGCAGAGCCACTGGCAAAAGAAGCATATGGTCTCTGCAGTGATTTTAGCAATGATGAATCAGTGGAAAACTCAAGAGTAAAGACCACAAAAACAAAGCATCTGACTCAAGTAAAGCTTCAGGGTCTCCTGGACAGCTTACTTTACGCCATTTTGTTTTCTCTGAATTGCTTGAGACAAAATATAAAGCAGTTGAGGATAGTGATGAAAACATTGCATCTGATGATGAAAGTTCTGATGAGCAGCCCATGTGCCTTTCAACAGAAACCAAAGAGGTTGGTTGTCAGAAAAGTCAAGGCTCTCTTGGTACTTCAAAACATCAAAAATTAGCTAACATCCTAAATCCAAATAAAAACTGTATTTGTGATAAAAGCTGGAATATTTTAGAGCAGAATGTTTCTTCTGAGTCTGATGATGAGAAAAATTTTAAAAATGCAGCTGACCACCATTGCATTTTACAGAATGCCACAGAATCAGAAGATAGTGATGTTGTCTTTCCCACACAATATACAATTCAGGAATTCCCTAAGAATAGGGTTTCAGCCCCCACTGCATGGATTTGAAGATTCTGAAACAGAAAATGCTGTAAAAATAAGGAATGATGGTGATGATAGAAAGACTCATGTCAAAGGAAATGGACTAATTTCAAAACAATTAAATCCTGAGAACATGACTCTGAAATCTATTATGAAAAGAAAAGGCAGTAGTGGTATTAGTGATGAGTCTGATGACATTGAAATTTCCTCCAAGTCAAGAGTAATAAAACTAAGAGCTACTAGTTCTTTGAAGTTCAAGAAGAAAAAGGAAAATAAAAGGGAACTTGACACTTTCCCTAAAACAATGAAGAAAGCAAACTAACTGTGTGCAACAGATGAAGATTATAACTTTCAGGCTATTGATGACTTTTCATTCTCAGATGACGATTCTTCTATTAGCCACACCAGTTTCTCTAAACAGAGACATAGACCCAAAATTATAAAAGAATCAACTTCTCTTCAAAATTGCCTAGCCATAAGAAAAGTAGCACTTTTGTAACAAGAAAAGCAATGAAATTTTCAAATGAGAGAGTTGTCAGTCAAGAGCAGATGTATGAATCAATGGGTACATTTTTAGGTAACTACATGTACATTCTGAAACTTCACTTATTTATTTTGTGCAAACAGTTCCATAAGATTCTTGAATTAGCTTGTAAAATAGCCCTCTACAATCAAAATACTACGTTGAGGCACAAATGAGGAAGTGGTGGTGGCAGGATAAGGGAAGCCCAGATTGGTCAAGACAAAGAACGTTTTCATCCCCCTCAGGAATCCCTCCATGTGTCCCACCTGAATCACAGCCCTTCCACCTCCGTAAATACTGATGATTCTAACTTTTATAGTGACCACTTTTTTGCATTTTTATGATTTTGTCACATAATTATGTATCCTTAGGCATTATCGTTTATTCTCATTTAAAATATATATGTGTATGTGTGTGTGTGTGTGTGTGTGTGTGTAGTCATTTTTATTCTGTAGTAGTCCTCTATCACTTTCATTTCCTTATGATTCATCTGTTGCCTGGGTCATTTATAGTTTTCCTCAATTTGCATTTTGATAATTGTGTACTCCTGGTAGAGTTGAACATATTCCTCTGCCCTCTATATTTCCTACCAATGAGCAGTATCTGATACTGTATCAAACTCAGGTTCATTCCTTTGATAAGACAAAAGTTAATGTTTGGTAAGACCATGGGAGGCACAAAATGTTGCTGGTCTCTCATCTTGGCAGCTCTAGATGCTTAATGCCTGGAACTATTTATCCATTCAGAATAGGAAAATGATGTTTTCTACTTCTCTTATTTCTTCTTCATTTGTTAGTTAGAATGCCTCTCTAAGGAGATACTCACATCTACTGGTACTTACCCAGTGGTATGGTTCATAGGGAGAAGGCAGGGAATATACTTAATTCCTTGCTTTACCACTTTTTAGTATAATAAAATTGTTTGTATTATATGAAAATGATTTTATGTATTTATAATAAAATCATCCCCTAAAGGGAATGATCTTTCTTAAAGTCATTATGAATTAATTGATTCAAACACATTTCATGGAACTCAATCCACTGCAATTAATATCATTATTGAGGATCAGTTGTCTCATCTTTGGACAGTGGAAGCCTTTGGCTATGAGCACTTTGGTTCTTGAGACTCTGTGACGTGATGCTATCATTGTCATGATGTCATCTTTGATTGTTATCTAGATCTAGTATTACAGAATGTTCCAGGATCATCTCATACATTTTCTGCCCCAGACCTAGACTCAGTCATTTCTCCAAGAATTTTTGGTATCTTAATAGTGAGAAAGGACTACAGCCTTTTGCTAGGAATGATCATTGCTGCTACTGGCTTAGTTCTTATTTCTGGTCCTTTTCAGTGGACAGGCTGTGTGTGTGTGTTTCTATTTATGTATACATTTCTATAAATTTTTACGTACACATGTATTTTTATATCTCATGATAAAATGAGTTTATCAAACATCATGAGTTTATATCCTACTTCCATATTTATATTGATACTTGATTTGAGATTATAGAGCCTTTACTAAACCTCTTTGCTGTCACATTTGCATACCATTTCCTCCATAATGATAATTTTGTTCAGTTCTTAAGCGTATAGGGAACATTTTCATTATAATACCCCATAATTGCTCATTAGTCTTATCCCATATATATATATATATATATATATATATATATATATATATAAATACCAATACTACTACACTATGATTCCTGATTCCTGTCAACATGAGGGCTTTTGTTTTTGTTTGTTTGTTTGTTTTGCAAGTGCGCTCCCATTTTTCTATTTTAAAAAATTGATATACTATATCTACAGTGTCAGAACATACAGACATAGCAGTATGTACTCTTCCCCTTAGACTTAATTTATTCTTGGCTTGCAGGTAAATATAAATTTAATGCTCCCCATTCATCTTTATATCAATGTCTCTTAAGTTGTCTGGAACTTATTTTCTAGCATATCCCTCAGGAAGTGCTCATGAGAATAATATTCCCTGAGATTCTTGTTGATAACAGTTTGTGCCCTTTATACTTAAAAATTATTTTTGCTGAATATAAAATCCTTGGTTCACACACTCTTTTCTTAAGTCTTTTAACTATGTAGCTCCATTTCCTTTGGTCATGAAGTGTTGTGTTTTGTGTTCTTTTTTTTTCCTCCCTAGATGCCCATAGGCTTTTTTTCTTTTCATTATTGTGCATTAATTTTACCAGATGGTGCTGTGATGTTTGTCTTAGTCAACTTGGGCGGCTATAACAAACTACCATAGAGTGAGCTTACACAACATTTATTTCTCAACAATCCTCGAAGCTGGGAGTCCAAGATCACAGTGCCAGCAAATTAGGTTCTCGGCGAGAGCCCTTTTCCTGGTTCCAAATGGCCCCCTTCTTGCTGTGTCCTCACATCATGGAAAGAGAAATGATCTCTCTCCTGTCTTTTCTTCTAAGGGCACTAATCCTAATGATTAGGGCTCTACCTTCATGACCTAATTATCTCCCAAAGGTCCAACTACAGATACCATCATGCTGGGGATTATGACTTCAACATATGAATTAGCGGGGGACAAACCTTCAGTCCATAGCAGTATTGGTTATTCTGAGTCAGTATTCTCATAGTGTAGTTTCAACTTGGTTTTTATTTTAGGAAAGTTTTCTTGTACTGAGTAAGTGTTTTTAGTTACTTTGTTTTATTCCTTTACTCTGCCTTTCTTCTTGAGGGACTCCTGTTATTTAAATATTCAATCTTCTTTTCCTGTCCTTAGAATTTGTCACATTCTCTCAAATCCTTTTTTTCTTTTTTCATTTCTCTTTGCTTTTTAAAAATTTCCTTCTTTCTTTAAAGCATTATCTATTGGGTTCATTCCCTCTTATGTTTTTTTTTTAGTGTAGTCCTCATATCAGAAATAATTTTTTTTATATTTCTAAGTCTTTCCTGAATTCTGCCACTCATTTCTAAGTTATTATAAATAATGCTGATTTATGTTGTCAGTTCTTGTATTTTATCATTTTCTTGGCCTTTTACCTCATTTTTAAAACAGTTACAGTTTTAATCTGTTTTGTAAACACATATTTCTGGCATGTTCAATTGTAGGGATAAATTCTGCTTATTC